CGGACGATTGAAGAACAGAAGCGCGGCTTCAAGGAATGGGCTGTCATGGGCGACTGGGACAACGCATATCAGACGATGGAGCCCGGTTTCGAGATCAGACAGCTGGAAGTGTTTAAGAGCATGTTTGAGAAGGGCTTGATTTACAGGCAGTTCAAACCCGTCTACTGGAGCCCGAGTTCGCGAACAGCCCTTGCGGAAGCTGAGTTGGAGTACGATGAGGGTCACAAGAGCTTAGCTGCTTTTGTGCGATACCCAGTACATCTTTCGGAGGCTTTACAGAACGGGGCTTTGAAGGAGGTAGACCGTGACGTTAGCGTAGTCATCTGGACGACCACACCCTGGACTCTGCCCGCGAACAAGGCGATCGCGGTTCACAAGGACATGCAATACTGCGTAGTCAAGGATGCCGAGAAGGACGGCGAACTGATCCTGGTCGCAGCTTCACGAGTAGCGGAGTACGAGAAGATCCTCGAGCGGAAGCTCGAAGTAGTGATCGCAGATGTGCGTGGCGCAGATCTAGCCGGTCAAGTTCAGTACGAGAATCCGTTTCAAAAGGCAAATGGACTACAGTCGATAATCCATGCCGACTTTGTCACCGACTCCTCAGGTACTGGACTAGTCCATCTCGCTCCTGGACATGGTATGGATGACTACAACGTATGCATGGCGCTCAACGTTCCAGCTTTTGCTCCCATAGATGATGCTGGTGCTTTCACCAAGGACGCGTTTCCGGAACAACCCGAGCTTCTGGAAGGTCTACCTGTCGCTGATATCAAGAAGTCGGGTAGCAATGCTGTATGCAACTATCTCCAGACGCTGGACATGCTTCGGGGCAAGCAAAACTACCGCCACAAATATCCCATCGACTGGAGAACGAAGGAACCTGTCATCACGCGCGCTACTGAACAGTGGTTCGCGAACGTAGAAGGTATCAAGGACGCGTCGATGAAAGCAATTGCCGACGTCAACTTCATGCCTGAGACGGGTAGAAGTCGTCTAGAGAGCTTTATTCAGGGACGGAGTCAATGGTGTATCTCGCGACAACGTGCTTGGGGTGTCCCTATCCCTGCCCTGTACAAGGTCGAGGGCGACACACTAAAAGCGACCATGGACTCTGAGACCATCGACCATATCATCGAGGTAATCAAAGAACGTGGCATCAACGCCTGGTGGACGGACTCGCACGACGATCCAGCTTGGAAGCCGAAGCATCTCACCGAAACATACGTACGCGGTAGAGATACCATGGACGTCTGGTTCGATAGTGGCACCAGTTGGAAGCTCCTTCCGCAGCAAAAAGACAAGCCTGTTGCCGATGTATACCTTGAAGGCACTGACCAACACCGCGGCTGGTTTCAGTCATCCCTCCTTACCCACGTGGCAACCCAGCCTTACTCTACAGAGACCGTCAAAGCACCATACAAGACCCTGATCACCCATGGCTTCACGCTCGACTCCGACGGCCGCAAGATGAGCAAATCTCTCGGCAACGTTATTTCCCCATCCCAAATCATGTCCGGCGAACTCCTCCCACCCGTCAAACGAAAGAAGCAAAAAGGCGTCAAGCAAGACCCAGCAGCTAAGCACACACCAACATACGATGCCATGGGCGCCGATGCTCTCCGCCTCTGGGCCGCAAGCAGCGACTATACACGCGATGTCACAATCGGGCAGCCCGTCCTGATGTCCGTAAACCAAGCCCTCCACAAATACCGCGTCACTTTCAAATGGCTGCTAGGCATCTTCTCGCTTCCATCATGCCCACCACCCTTCACTTCATTCAACGAGCTCACACCCACCATCGCCGAATTCAGCGAACTTACTGATCGTCTCGCCGTTCACCGACTGGTACAAGTGAGCGCGGAAGTACACAACCACTTCGGCAGATACGAGTTCTTCAAAGGTGTCAACGCAATTAACAAGTACATTTCCATGGACCTGAGCGCGTTTTACTTCGAAACACTCAAAGACCGGGTGTACACTGGCGATACAAAGGACTGCGAGACACTTCAGCGCGTTTTGGGTCTCATTTTCTATGAGCTATTGCAGATGCTTGCTCCAGTCTGTCCGTTACTTGTAGAGGAAGTTTGGGATCACGTTCCTGAGGGGCTCAAGGAGAAGAGTGCTCATCCTGCGCGCGCGGTTTGGTCGCCTCTTCCTGCGCTAGCTGAATCTGAATCTGCTAGTCTGGAGGCCATGAGCGAGACAACTAGTACACTAGGCGCAGCCATCAAGATCGCACAAGAGCGCCTCCGTGCCGAGAAAAAGATCGGTTCAAGTCTCGAGAGCGCAGCGACGGTTTACCTACCAAATTCGACCAACGCGGAGATTTTCTACGCTGAGTTCACGAAATGTATGCAGCCTACATTCCTCACGCCAACGGATCTCGAAACTCAGCTCGCTGGCCTCTTTGTTGTCAGCGATCTTCGATTTTGGACACCAACAGGGTCGTTTTTTGCGAACAATGTGTTCACGGCGGAGGATTCTGATACGGTGAAGCAGCGGTCGCAGTGGTGGGAGGAGGAAGCGCTTTCGAATACCACGGGGGTGTTGGGTAAGGCGAAGGTGCTAGTGCACCCGCCTAGTGGGGAGAAGTGTCCGAGGTGTTGGCGCTTTGTCAAGGAGGAGAAGGAGGAGATTTGTGGGAGGTGTAAGGGTGTTGTTTCGTTGCAGGGTGGAGTGTAGTTGTGACTAGTGCTTGGGGTGCATTGTACATTACTGTAGGATCGTAGTGTGTGCTATATTCAGAGACCGAAAGAACGCTTTCCTTTGCGCAGTGCCTCCTTTCATCTGTTTCGTGGCCTCTGCTCAAGTCCAAATTCTCACTGTGGCAACTCCATATCTCGCTCGTCCCGTTCTTTAGTATGAGGTAGTCAGGTTCAGTTGCTATACTACTTGAGGCTATGGTCCCCATAACGTCGCACCTCTTCCTCCGTTGCTTGGGCCCTCCAAGCCCAAAGGATCTTCTGTGCCGGCATGAAATCCTTTGCAGAACCTGGACTGGTAGACTTGTTTCCGCTCTTGGTAGCATTAGACAATTTTTGTCGCCAGGTTCGTCCTTTCTCAGGCTGGCTGCTTTCCATAGAATTGACAATCCCACTCCGGTACTTCTTTCAGGCTTGCTGCTTTTCATTGGATCAATGCTCCGACTCCTGGTAACCCTCTCGCGTTCTAGAAATTGAAGAAAGTTCGAGGGAGCCAGTATCAATTTCGGTGTTGAAGATCGTCTGGAGGGTCGTAAAGGTATGCTACACGAGGGTAGATTTCAGGGGATTTGGGCCTGATTCCAACCGCCTTGGAAAGCCTCTGTCGCCATGTCCGCCTTTCTTTGGCGTTGACGCTGTCCCTGGGATGGTCAGGCTCAGATGGTCCAGGCTGGATAAGATCTGGAGAATCAGATGGCGCACGGGAATTACGCAAGGACGGTACATGTGCCAAACGCGCCTGAGTGGCCCTCCACGCTGACATTGAACCTGTATCAGAATCAACTGCCTCTCCTAACAGTCTGCGGAGACGCGGTTGTGACGACATTTGTTCGAAACCTGGATTTCGTAGGCTTTCTCCTGGTACCTCTGGAAACCTGCGGGACTTCTCTTCACTGTTATGTACTGCAGACCTCGTACGTCTTGATGATACTTTGCGGTCCGGCTCTTTCTGGCTGCGGGAAGCGGAGAAGATATTTGAGGTGATGCGGCTAACTCGCTCTCGAAGCGATGGAGGGGGCCTCGGCGTAGTAGCAGGTTCTACGTAAGGAACGGTATTGTGTACAGTCGAGGGCAAATGCATTGTAGCTCGGGTAGGTGGGTAACTTGTGGTTAGCGGTGCCTTCTCGGTTGCCTCACGGTGGTTGAGACTGGGCTCAAGGGATCCCTCCGGCGAAAACCTCTGCTCATCCAGCCTTGCAACCATAGGTTCTCTACGGAGAGCCTCGTCTGTGATCGTTGGCTGATGCTCATACAACTCTGTTCTTTGTTCGTTGGATATTCCAACTCGGGCATCTTTGAATTTAGAAGTGATCTGATCCCACGAAGTATCCACTTCCTCTGGGGTCATGCTGCTCGTGGCTAATGCCAACTCCTTGTCCTGATCGGCGTATTGGTCATCCACTGCGGTCCGTGAACGATGTGTTTCCTGACGGGATATACTAGACCCAGTGACTGACACTTCCGAGCCATAGTCATGATCTGAGGGATCCAAAGCTATCCTTGTTGAGCCTAGGCTAGAGAGTGCCGGTACACCTTGCCGCGCGGCGTTAGAGGATGTATCGTTCTCTTCCACAGTAGCCATATAGTCCGTTTGAGGTATCGCAAACAATGCGAGTTGCTCAAGATGGCGTGCGAGATGAGACCTCAATCTATCTGCATGCTGACCACATAACGTGCAAGTCCCCCAAGAAGCGGTGGATGGGCGCTGCAATCCCCGATGCAAGCTCAGAAGTTGTGCCTCTTCGAGAGGCTCGAAATGAACGGTGCGCATATGATACAGGAAGTCTTTCATGTTGACAAAAGACTGGTGAGACTCTGTGTTGCAGAACCATTCCACGCGATGGGTCCGGGATTCATGATTAAACCAATCGTCAATATTCTCGAAGAGGTACTCGTGTAGTTGGCAGTCTGAGTAGGTACAGATGTAGGGCTGGAGGTCAGACAAGACATGCTTCCTTGTGCGCAGATGTTAGCCAAGTAATTGACGGTAGGGACTTGAGATCACTGACTTCCATCTACGCTCTGACGTGATGACCTGAGCAGTGGAGCAGTAAGGACATATAAATCTCTCCGAGAGCCGACCTTCTTTTGTTCGGGGTCGATTCGGAAGCCTGATTGTCATCGCATTTGCAGTCTGTTCGGATGCAACAGACGAGGCGAAGTCGGACACTGACGGTGTATATAGTCCGATCGCCGGTGAGTATGATACCATTGGAGGGTGCTTCTTCAATGTTGTCGCATTGGAAAGCTCTGTGCGTTGACTTGGGCCCTTCGAGCTGGGTGTTGAATCGCTTGCTATATCTCCTTCAGTAGGTCTGGGTAGACGACCATGCGCACCTATAGGAGTGTCAATCACTGTGACCTCTTTCCCTTGTAAAGCATCAGTGTGGTCTTTGCGGTACTGTATCAGTTGCCTTCGTCTCGATATCATCTTTGCTAAGCGGGTAGTAACCGTCTCGTTGAGGTTGGGGAACTTATCCCTAATATACATGATGTCAAACGGTAAGTATGCAGTTATATCAGCGGTGTACTTCTTCTTCATGCGATCGATAGGAGCAGGACTGCGAATAGGTAGCTTCCAAAGACAGTCGATGATGAAGTTGATGGGGTCTACTACTGTCGGCTTCGCTGGTTCGGGGACTGGCCGGTCTGGGGTTTGTCGCGGGAGCTTCCCTTTACCTGGATATTCTACTTCAGAGTCGGAAGAAACTTCCCATGGGGAATCAGACGAGTCGGTCTCATCTTCGTCTGTATCTGAAGGCTCGAATTTATCCGTAATCCGATTACGAGCCGCTATGTTCTCGACTTGAGTGGCTTCTAATGCTGAACAGCGCTTCCGTCAGCAACATCTTAAATGTTTATACAACAATACTGTGCTACCTTTGTTAAGCTAGTGCATGAGCATTGGGTTAGCCGTCGTTCCTATATCACGACAGGATTGACTGTAACAGGTGACAGTGTAAGAGGCATGGTGTCTTACACAGCTGCAAAGATCCTGCATCAACCTCAGAACCTGAAATCTTTGTGAGTTCTGCATGTACAATAGCGATGAAGGTTGAATACCTGGACTTTGTAGAAGGAAGCCTCTCTCAGCCGATAGTCTAGAGACGACTTATACCTAGTGCCACTATGCATGGCACCAACATTTCCAGCCCAAAGTCTGTACTTATCGAAGGCATTCTGTGCTTCATTCTGGTCGTTCCAGCGACGAGAAGTGGCTAGTACGCTGATGAAGGTAAGGAAAATGGAGACACAGCTAGTGTGAACTTCGGCAATAGACTTATCCATCTTCGCGTAGCGACATCTTGTTGATCGAAAGGAGAGATGAAGTTAATGATAACAACGGAAGGCTGAGATTCCAAGGTTGCGAGGTTACACGGCGATGCATTACACCACGTGGGCCAGCTGACAGCTAGAGCTCTTTGGGCCTAGCGACAAGGCTGCGTATCCTGAGGTCGTCGAGTCCACATCTTCGTTACAGCCTTCTCCATACAGGTTTCTCCGTCGACATAACGCACTCATGATGTGCTGGGATTATCGCGTTATCCTGGCCACACCTACAACGACTGCAGTTTTGCTGCCTTTTTACCGAGTCTGCCACCTGACCGAACCAGCGACGACACAAGCTCCCGTATCATGTCTGGGTTCGAAGTAGCCGGAATAGTTTTGGGATCGCTGCCTTTGGTAATATTGGCTCTAGAGCACTACGTCGAAGGAGTATGACATAAAGATTCGATAAGTCGGCAGATGATGACTGACGTATTATAGCTTTCAACAATCAGGAGTATGCAAAAGTACGAGGAAGCATTCGAGCATCTTCATGCTTCTTTTGTGACAATCGCCTGTATATACAGGAACTCATGCGAGGAGCTTCTAAGTCCATTGGCTCTTTCAGACGCCCAAGTGTGTCAGCTACTCGAAGACCATGACAGCTCATCATGGGAAAATGCTGATCTCAACGACGCTTTGCGCAATCAATTGGGAAGCAACTACCTACCCTTCAGGTCTTCAGTAAAGCAGCTGAACAAGAAGCTCAATCTTTTGGCGCGGAAGCTGCAGCTAGGCGTCAACTTTCAGGTGTGAACTTAGGTAACTCCGAAAAGACAGCAGCATTTGCTAAGATGCAGCAGCCACCTTGGACTACACCAACAGGACGTATCGATGCAGCTGCGCGAAACAAGTTCTTCGCCGACCCTTGGATACGTATAAAAGGAGGACTCAAGACGAAGCACCATAAGCAATTGCTAGCCACCATCGAAGAGGACATCGGCCGCATCTCCAGCCTTACCACAGGAGCAATTGCGCTTGAACCCTTACGACTCCAAAGAAGACGCAAAGCCAACACCGAGTATCTCCAGAAGTTCAGACAACAGGCGGAGAAACTGTACGACGCTTTCAACACACGGTGGTCGTCCAGGTGCACATGTCAGAGTACACATCAGGCGAACCTGCGGCTTGACATACAAAGAAATGATGGAACAGGAAACCCATCCAACTTCAAACTTGTATTCACTTTCGGCACACCGCATGCTGGGCATGCCACTGCCTGGAAGTTAATCCCAGTAGAGATCGAGGCTGTCGATGTGATCGACATAACAAACCCAGGCAGCGGTTCACTGCTCCCTAGCATCATAGTTCACTCAAACGCAAAAGCACACGACCACTGGAAGTGTCTGAAAAGAGCTCCGAATATCGTCGACTTGTGCGCGACATTACAACGCTGTCCAAGTCCGGGCTGCATCGGAGTCATGAGTAGCAAGCTCGCGAAACACCACATCCACACTCTTCGATTACCAAACGCAAGCACAACCGATGAAAGAGTAAGCTTGCAACAGCTGCTTGAGAGGCAAAGCCAGAGCTTCCAGATCCAGGAAAAGTGTATGCTAGCTCTTACTCTAGCCTCCGCCGTCTACCAACTTCACAACACACCATGGCTAGGAGAAACCTGGGACCTAAACGACATCTGCATTCTCAGTCAATCGGTACTATCCGACCAGCCATACATATCCCGAGACTTCCCTGCAACAACACCACCACCACCAGCACACAGCCAAAGAATGCGTATAACAAAGAACAGCATCATATTTGCCCTCGGCGTCGCATTACTGGAGATCTCGTACGGCAAGCCACTGCAGACGTTTGTAACCACGGAAGATCTCGACGACGCGACAGGTAACCGTACGGCTTTCACCGACTATCTCATAGCAATTCGGTTGGCGGAGGGGTTGCGTACGCGGGAACTGCCGAACTATGCGGATGCTACGCAGAGATGTGTACATTGTAATTTCGAAGCTTCGATTTTTAGTCTCGACAATGATGACTTTAGGGAGAGGTTTTACCAGGGCGTTATCGTGCCCTTGAGGAAGGATTATGAGTATGTTGTTAGCGCCGCCACGATATAAAGTGTGGAATGAGAAATATGATCTATCGTGGATGGATGAAGCCAGTCGAATTCATTTTCTGATCCCACCAACGTTGCAGTACTTCCAGCATCCAAACATACCCGCTGGGGTAAGACACACAGGAGCCCGAACATGTCGGCAATCCAGTGCTCCCCACATGAACGCCGGACGAACTGCGGCCCGAACAGAGAGGTCAACATGACTGCGCCTCCCTATCTGTGACAATGGCATCAGAATCGTTCCGAATGCAATGAATGTCGATTGCTATGCGAAGATAGACGGTAGTTCAGGGTCGAGAATGTCTTGGTGTCTTGACATTCGGCAGCCCAACACTGAAGAGTCCTTCCGTTACTAGAATCGCGAGTTCCGAGTATCAGCCCGACTGTTGGCATGGATTTGAAGACGTCTTTCGGTACTGAGAGAATTGCTATCTAGATATATGGTCTTCACCCACGGGATAAGTGAGCAAATGGACATGCTCGTGGCATCATGCAGTCACCACGAAAGCCATGCCCAGGTAGATTCCTATTTGGTGAGCCTTTGTGGGAAGGAAGCTGGGAGCTTCACGATGCACCTATGGCGATCGCAATTCACACCTTACCTCTGTATGAGTGCAGTGTAAGACGTAGACGAGATAGACGGCGCCATGGCAGAGATAGTGAACCATGTGTTTGGTACATGTAACTGACTCAGAATTGTTCGATTGGACGTCAACATGTCCAACGCGCAACCGGCGCCTGATGGCATGTCAGCTGAATGGGTTGGTTCTCCTATCTCAAACATAGTCGACCGTAGTCTGTGGCTTAAAGGGCCGTTGGTGGATCTCAATGGCGAACGGTCTTTGTAGTACTATGCGTGCCGTGTATTTGCAGGGTCGTGCGATGTACCAACACAGACGAAGGCGCCGCTTGCAGTCATCTGCACGCCCGCAGCCTATAAAGAACCGTCCTATTTGTGGAGGTTAGCTGCCTATCAGAGTTGCGCCGGGATCGGACTGAGTCGTGCAGGCAGAGCTTGTCAGTACTTGTCATGTACTTGCAGGCCACTGCCGTGTGGGCGACGACCCCGGATTCCGCTGACCAAGAATTAGATCAGCAGCCTCACGGCCTTATCGTGTGTTTGTTCGGCAGGGTCAAGGCAGCTCCTTGCTGAATCCAGTGTATGGAGCGAGCAAGGCTGCGAGGTGGTCACGGACCAGGCTGCTTACGTGGATAGCGTGCGCGAGGCATCGGCAAGTAGCAGCAGGGCGTGACAGCGAGTCGCCACTTTCGGTTTCCAGAATATTTCTGCATGGGGCCGTGATGGGGTTGCTCGGGCAGATGACGACGCTGTGTGGCAACAGCGGGGGGCGTGCGATGCATGCTGCAGCCATTGAGACGGGCGTGCGATGCCAGCGCACAGCGAGTAGCAGGTTGAGTTGGCTGGGGCGGGCGTGCTGTATGTAATCAGTGCAGCGCAGGCGGGAACTGGGCCGCCCCTGGGGAAGCGTTTCAGAGTGAGCTTGGCTCTCTGGGTTCGCACTTCACGCAGCGATAGCTAGTGGGCGGGCGCGGCGACGTTGGCACTTTGATCACGTTGGGAGGCAAATGAAAGCGCGCCCTAGGCCAAGCGCAGGTGCAGGGCTGACGTTGACGCAGCGGAGCGCTCGTATAGCATTTGGCTGTGACGGCGCGAAAGCTTCCAGAAGGCTTGGGGGCTTCGAGCCGGGCGGTTCGTGGATGGATAGGCTGGATCCACCAGTGCGCCTGCCTCTTTTTGTCGAGTATCCCAGATCCAATCAGCCAGACCAGGCCCGCTGCTCTCCTCCACCACACCACTCTCGATTCCTATAGCCGACTTCTGCCCGTCTCGTCCACGCCCTCACTGCCCTCGACCGTGTGCGCCCGATGCTGCTCAGCGTGCAGCCCATAGCAGTGCCGCTCATGCGACACACCGAGGACCGCTAGAGCCCCTGCATGCATCTACAACCCTCACCCGCGCCCTGAAGACGCTCAAGACGCTCCCCAAACACGCTGCGAGCCATCGCCTGCGGACGCCCGCTGCGCTGCTCGAGTCTCGACACGTCCCGTTGCGCGCGCGCCGAGTGAGAGACACCAAGAGGCAGCCGCGCCCAGCACCCGCCCGCCGTCGCGCCTGCCCTCCCACGTCGCTTCCCGCCTTCCTCGTCGCATCCACCCGTTGCGCTTTCCTCGTATACAATAAACACTGCAATCTAGTGTCGTGTGCACTGGCTGCCGCTCGCCGCCTCGCCGGGTTCCCTGGGGCTTCCACCGACGTCGTCGTTTCAGAGTGCATCTCAGACCAACCGGCGCACTCCCGCCGTCCCATCTCTGCGCTCCCCCACGCTTCTGGACGCTCGACTCTGTCCGCTGCTCTCCTGTGTCCACTGCCACCGCGCTCACGACCGCCAATTGGCCCTCGGCTGCACCCCATCCACCACGCTTCCGCCTCGCACTCTCCCGTGACGCTGTCCGACCCGTTCAGACGTCTCTCTGCGACCACCCGTCCTCCCCATTTTGCGACACCTCCCCAACAACCTCCCCTCTGCGCTGGAGACCAGTGCTGTCTGGTCGCCGCACATAGGCGGAGACAATGGAACATGGCGCGTGCAATGTTGTCTACATTGACCGGCGGGCCAACGACGAGCACGTGCGGAAGGAGACGCTGTCCAAGTCGCTCGTCGCGCGAACCACGACTGGCAATGTAGGACAGAGCTACTTTGCTATCGGCAAGACGTCGCCGCGCGAAGTGCACGACAATGTCGAGGCGATGCTGTCCATTTCTAACGAAGGTAGTCCGTCCTCTTCCCGCGCCCACGCCTCTACTAACACACTTCGTAGTACACATCTGCAGCACCGGCAGGGCCTGCCTACAGAAGATCACCCAGCTCATCGAGTCCACCAAATCCAGCATTCCTACGTTCGTCATAATAGACATCCCATACGATGAAGAGCAGCGCATGAAGCGCCTTTCTCGCGAACCGCGCACGCCCTCGCCTACATCCTCGCGCCTCACACGTTTAGATACGAGCGAACCCGACGATATATACGCCATGCACCTCCTCACCCACATATCCTCCGAAATCTCGTCGCGGAATTTCTCCAAACTCGTTGTACCTGTGGTCATGTTGTCGGGTCTAGGCACCGAAGAGCCGTCCTCAGCTGGTCCGCTGCCGTCTCCAGGCCTACAGGTGTCTTTCTCGCTCGGCGACACTGTTCGATTGACGCGATACCTGGATGCCGGCGCTGTTGACGTCCTGACGAGTCCAATGTCAAGGGATCGCATGCTTGGCTTGGCCGTCCATGCCTATCGGTTACAGAAGGAGTTCTCTCGAGAAGAAGCAAGCTTTCTGACTACTAAGCGTAATCGGAAGCTGTCTTGGGTCGGAGTAGACGACACAAAACCTTACGCATATCTGCGCGAGGCGATGGTGTCGAATCTCATGACTGGTATCTGTAATCCAGAGACAGTAGGCGACTCGCTTGAATCTACGTATGTACAAACGGTGACTATGCGACCCGCCACTGACTTGAGTAGGGATTTCCATCTCGACGTAGATCGCCAAATCGTCGTTGAAGCTGCCATCGGTACTTGGGCCTTCTCCGCGCACGACTACACCGATGACGAGCTTCTCTATGGCGCTTTCGTCATGCTCAAGCATGCATTACAAATGCCCGAATTAGAAAGATGGGCGATAACCGAAGGCAAGTGCGGCTCATGCCAGAAATCTGCTGCTTGCTGACCGATTCGTAGACGAGATGATCGTCTTTCTCTTGGCCAGCCGTACTGCCTACAACGAGTTCGTCAAGTACCACAACTTCCGTCACGTTGTCGACGTGCTCCAGGCTCTCTTCCACTTCCTCGTCCGAATCGGCACCCTGCCTCCTTATCCTTCGGATTCGTCCAACACGTCCACCCCGAAATCGCCAATCGCTGAGCTTCTCAAGCCCTTTGACGCGCTTACCCTTTTGATATCCGCCATAGGACATGATGTTGGCCATCCAGGAGTCAACAACGCTTTTCTAGTCGCATTGAACGCACCGCTAGCGCAATTGTACAACGATCGATCCGTCCTAGAATCATTCCACTGCGCTGCTTACTCCCAAATATTACGCCGTTATTGGCCGAGCGCATTCAATGATGCTGCGATGCGCAAGCTCATGATCAACAATATACTTGCGACAGACATGGGCCTCCATTTCAAGTACATGAGCGACCTGGGTAACCTGCAGCAGAAGGTTGCGCATGACAAGGGCGTGGTCGACGGATGGAGTGCGAAAGTACAAGAGGAACAAAAGGACCTGACATGTGGACTGCTCATCAAATGCGCAGACATCTGCAACGTGGTACGTTTTGAGTTCTTGTCTTTCTGGTGCACTGCAAGCTGACGCACTTTAGGCTCGCAAATTTGACACCGCTGCCAGGTGGGCCAACATCCTGACGGACGAATTTAGCAACCAAGGACTCATGGAAGAGGAGCTGGCGATGCCATCATGTCTGTTTGGTGGCCCACCTGTTCGGGAAGACGTCATCAAACTTGGCGAATCCCAGATTGGTTTCATGAACATCTTCGCCCGGCCGCTCTTCGAAGCCGTCACGGACATCTTACCGGCGATGCGCTTTGCTGTCGACGAGATCCTGATCAATAAGGGTGTTTGGGAGAGCAAAATCGACGAAGAACGACAGAGGAAAAGGAAAAGCAAGAGTATGAATCTTGGTTACCTGTCATCTGGTTTCACCGTCGATCCGAGCCCAAGTCCTTTGTCTGGAGGGCCTAGCAAGCCCGCTATAAAGATACCTCTGAGTGCCATTAAGACCATTTCTCCCGAAGAAGCGGCTCGACGAGGATCGACAGGCTCCATACGCTCCATTCAAGCTGCGACAGCTGAATCACGAAGATCCTCTTCGATTATTGACAAAAGTTCAAGGCGATCTTCAACGACCGCTGTTCCTGGCCAAAGAGCCATGAGCTCTGCTGAGAATGCCACTTCGTCGAGACGAGGAAGTAGAGACCCCAGCCTCACTGCGATCCTGGTGACTCAGACACCAAACTCGTCCGAACAGAAAGGGCAAGCTTCAGGTTCTGACGATCGGTCAAAGACTGACCGTAAGGACACTTTGACGAGGTCTTCGTCACCAAAGAAGGAGAGGGAGTCTCTTGGTGTTAGGCCAGTCACAGCTCCTTCCCAGGCCAGGCGTAGTCAAGGTGAGTAAACATCACTTCAGACCCGTCATGGCACATGAGCTAATTATGGAAAAGTTCTCGACCCTTACCCCGCGCAACAGCCGTCGTCACAAAGCCACTCCCAGGTCGATCTCTCTCAGGCGGCAAATGGAAACTTTGATGGCTCAAAGCTGCAGCAATGGGACACCGGCAACAAATTGAGTGCTGACAGTAACGCCACACGCTCAGATGTGTCGCGCGACTCGAGCTGGTGGCGACACGTGAGCACCAAGCGACGCCCTCGGGATGTTAGGAACGGCGACGCGGACGGACGGGCTCCGCTGAGGGAAGTTATGCCGGACTCACTGGTGCCTCCTCCGAACAGCGACTCGACGACTACCTCGCCCACATGCTCTAGCCCCGGCAGGAAGACAACGACGGGGAAGATTATGAGCTTCTTCAAACGAAAGCCCAACAGCCATAAGGAGCCCGAGAAGCAGTTGTCTAGCTTCGGTAGCTCCTCTCAGCTGCGCACACCACAGACGAGCGATCCTGGGCGATCACTCAACAGCGACGATTGATTTCACTAATACCTTTCTACGCCTCTATTGACCTTACATTAATGACCAACGCCGCATCCGATACCACGGTATTTCCTTTAGTCTCAACATACCACTTCAAAAGCAGTCCTGGGTCTCTGTGGCACCTGCTTTTGGGTTTCCTTCGTCTCTGGCAATTCCTGGATTTGATACCTCTTGCGCATGGCATGCCATCGGAAAGCGTTGGTGTACCAATCATTTGAGGTTCACTTATTTCACCTTCGGGTAACTTTGGGCGAGTCTTCGATCGTATCTTGCTCCAGCGCGCTTGCATCTGGGATACCAGGCTCCTCTCTACATTTTCTCTCTTCCTTTGTCGGCTACCTTCATTTCGGTGGGGCGCTGATGCATATTGATGGCAGTCGCTGCTCGTCGGGCTGTTCGGCCTCTATAGTTAGGGAGGTCTGATTCTATTGTTTCTTTTTCGCGACCAAAGGGACGCATTTGTTTACGCGGCTTTGTGGTTGTTACGAGCAGGAGACGGTGTCGGACATTGGGCAGGCTATGGAACGGTGCAACCACGACATTGTCGCATAAGAACACTAGCTGAAGAGTTGGCAGGAGAAGAGAGTGTATAGCTACTCCTCTCCGATATTCGTAGACATGGACACAGCGGCTATTATCCTAAGCTTGGCTGCGCCGCCCAGCGAACTCATGACGAAAACCCATAATGAAATGTATATTCTCAATTCTCAACTCATTTGTTGTACGCAACCATCTTTGCGCGCATCGTCAAGCAAACGAAATTATCGTCGTCAGCACGTCTTATTCACAGAAGATGACCATCGGCAAACGCCGACGCCCTTATCATGGTCACGAGTTACTACCGTAAAAGTGGTCCTCGTAGCACATAACTACCTAATTCGGGCCAGTGCAAGCGGTGTAGTGCGGCGCTAAACCCCACTTGCCTGACAACACCTACTCCTCGACATACCAGAAACCTACAAACTTCTCTTCATCCTTGAGCAACACAAACATGGACGACAAAGTCAAATACCTACTTTCCCTTTCCGCGGTGCGAGAGCGTGCCAAGATCGTAGGAGAGGCTGCCGAAGCAGGCAAGCTGAGCCACTTTGATGTGCACGAGGAACGTCTGGGCGAAGCAGCGGATTATGTGACTTCTGTCATCAAGGTTTGTTCTCCAACCTATCAAGTTTTTTCATGGAAAAGCTGATCTAAAACTCACAAGCGCGACTTTGGTCCCGATAAATTCCACACCATCCCACCTCACGGGCGCTGGCAACACTTTGAAGTTGGCGGCGTTCCCCGCATTGCCGACCTCCTCGATGAATGGAAAAAGCATGGGTGCGACGAACTTGAAATTACGCGTCGGCTGATCGACCTTTTCTTCGTTTCGGTTCTGTTGGATGCTGGAGCTGGAGATCATTGGCGATATGTGGAACCTGGTGCGGGAAAAGAGTATGAGAGGAGTGAGGGTATTGCAGTAGCGAGTTTGTATATGTTTAAGAGCTTGGGCTTTGCTGCGAAGAAGGATGGGGGGCCGATTGTTGATGGTAAGTATTCGTGTTCATGCTAGGATGGTTGGAAGAGACTCAGCTAACTGAGCTACGTATAGGAAAGGGACTCCAGGACCTCAAAACTGAGGCCCTTGCAGAAGGCTTCCAAATCTCCTCCAGTAACCCCATGCTAGGCGTAGACTCCCGAGCCAACCTTCTCCGCAGTCTAGGAAAATCCCTTCTCTCCCAACCCGCCATCTTTGGTGAACAAGGCCGTCCAGGCAATGTCGTTGGTACGTCCCCTACCAAAGCCATCCCCATGCCAGTAATTAACAAATTCAAAACAGACTACATGAAGACCACTACCTCTGACCCCTCAACCCTCGACATCCTCACCTTCTGGGACGTCCTCCAAAATCTGTTAATCCCCATCTGGCCACAAGACCGCACCGTAGTAAACGGCCAAGCCCTCGGCGACGCATGGCCCTTGTCCACACTGAAGACGCAATCCAAAGATGCCAACGCAGACGAAAGCACCTTCATCCAGCCCTTCCACAAACTAACCCAATGGCTCGCCTACTCCCTTACCGTGCCCTTCACACGCATCCTCTCCCTATCTTGGAAGAACATGTCCTCTATGACCGCCCTCCCCGAATACCGTAACGGTGGTCTATTCGTCGATCTAGGCGTCCTAACACTGAAACCTGCGTCTTTGGAGCGCGGTCTTAAAGCTACGTCGGACGGAAGTGGACTCCCTTCTTTCGCTGCAGGCGATGATGCTATTGTGGAATGGAGGGCAATGACGCTGGTGCTGGTGGATAAATTGTATAAGTTGGTGCTGGAGAGAATGCAGGGGGTTGAATTGAGTATGGCGCAGCTGCTCGAAGCGGGCACGTGGAAGGCAGGGAGGGAGGTGGCGAAGGAGAAGAGGCCTCAGACGAAGAGTAGTCCGATTGTTATTTTGAGTGATGGGACTGTTTTCTGAGCTGAGAGATTTAGCAAGATAAAGCCATGGCTTGATAGAACGATTGGAAGCTGCCAAAGGTCGTTGTTAGAACGATCGTCGTGCCTGATTAGAAGAAAACTACATTGTTCAGAAGAACCCTCCCTCCTCTTTCCTCCCTCGGACTTCTCTCATCTCAACAGTCCGCCCATTTATCCCACCCCTCCCGTCTACTTCTTCATCAATCGCATCCAACACTCCCAGTCTTTGCACTCCAATATCTCCCTCTCCTTCCCTTTTCCTCTCCTCAGATAACTCTTGATCCGAAATATCTTTCTTCGCGTGCATATCTTGCAACCCCCAATCTCTCGGCGCCATCCAACCCTGCCGTTGAGTCCCACGTCCACCACCACCACCGCCGCCACCACCACTCTTCCACCTGCCGCCCAACACCGGCGACTCCGGCCCTGCACTATCCAACTCGCTTCTCACATCATCACCTGGGAGTTCAGATGGTCCGCGTACATCTCCGTACATGGAATTACGAGCTTTGGTCAGCGCTGATGTGGGGAAGGATGTCGAGACAGTTGTCAGTGGCAGTTCTTGGGGTGGGGGTTGCCAGATGTGCGGGTAGGTGCGGTGTTGTTGGTCGTAGTAAGTGGGGGTCTCGATAGCATGGTTTGGATCGCGGGGTGCGTATGCTGCGAAGTTTGTGTCTTGGGAGTAGACGGAGGAAGGAGGGTGGTGGCCGAGAGGGGAGAGGGGGCTGTATATAGTATTGTTGACGCCTGGGGTGGGTGGGGTGTAGGATGGTGGTGCTATATCTTGTTCGTTAGTCACATAGCTCATTGACTATTGTTGGAGGGTTTCAGTGTCATTATGCGTACCTTCAGTTTGCTCCGGCTGCCGATTCTCAGCCATGACGCATATGGGTAGGATATCTAGACTTTGCTCTGCTCCATCCTCTTTCTCGCGCGTCTTGGCTTTCCTTTTCCTGGAACATAGGAACCAGATTACGAATCCAGAGATTATCGCGAGTGCGAAGGTGCCTCCTGCTGCACCACCTGCTATAGCCGCGACGGGTAGTGTCTCTTCGGTTGCAACGGAGGCAGTGTTCGACGGGGATATCGTGCTCGATGTTGATGTGGCTGACGTCGTGGCTACGTTCGCTAATGTGACTGATGCGTAATTGTTGGAAGCGGATGTTGGTGATGGGCTCGAGTCTGTCTTCAAACCACCAGTCGCATGGTAAGCGCTGAGTAAATCGTCGCGATTGAGTATTGCCGGTTCAAGATCACCATCTGGACAACCGGACTGGGCGCATGCATTCGTTTTACAACATCCCCAGAATGTTTCTACGCTATGTTAATATGGCGTTCAAACAATACAATCTTTTCGCTAGTTGGCTGAAGGATCTTCGATAGACCCAAACCCTAACGATGCTTTTTGACTTACTGCCAGCGGCGCAAGTGTAGAATTTACTTCCAGTCCCACACGTAGCATCCGGGAAGTCTCCATATGATGTTGGATCAAAGGCACCGGGATACAAGTTCCCTTGCGCACAGGTGATTTCGCATGGATCTCTTGCACAACAGCCAACGAAGAAGCTGGGACTGTGTTAGCTCTTGGAAGCACAACAGGTATACTTTTCAACTTACGTTCCGTAGCCGCACGACCACCACGTACCTCCAGCAGGACAGGAAGGCGAGAAGACTTGTCGCTCAAAAAGGCTACCCGGCATAGTTTGGAACGACGAGGCTGAGGTCGGTCTAATAAATCTGAAAAGCGAGTCCAAGCAACGAGCAACAAAATCAGTGAACTTCAAACTACGAATCTAACAGTCGATAGTAAAGACCACGAGGAAATTGCATTGCAACCTGATCCAGACCCCAAAAGCACACACTTCGACCCAAACGCCGCCCTGCGGCTCAGCCATCATTGTAGTAAGATGCTACTCTTAGCCGAACTTCTCACCCGCCACATCTTTTTCCGTAGTACTCAGGGCAAAGATACCCAGAATATGTGCATATGCAGTCATGTAATAGGGGCCGGTATTGCTCGGGTGTTACCTGAGAGTAAGAAATCTGACGTTGTTCATACGTATTTACTTGGCACTGCCTGCTGTGCCAAATATTTGGCCGCTGCGACGGCGCGCTATGCTGACGGACGGGGAGAGGGAAGGCTAGAAGAACTTGAGATAGGCAAATCTGGGGGCTGATAATTATAATGGAAGGTGTGAGCAGGTATGAGGTGGCGTGAGGGGCCGTCGGGTCAAGACGGTGGCTGCCGCGTGGTCGCATGCGCGCAGGGAGATGCATCGAGGAACTGGACGTTTAGCTCCCGGGAGGAAGCTTGTGGGTTGCACATTTGGACGGTACACACTATCACGTTCCGTGGTAATCGCGGGGTAGTAATATGAAGGAAAATGCTCAAACAGTTGCTGAACGCCTGGTTACAAGAGACCTCGAGACGCAGAGGAAGGCGGTCTTGGTGTTCTAAATGTGGCACGGGTGAGCTGCACGTGGGATTAGGTAAGAGTAAGCCCCGAACCAGCCTTGTGTGAAGAAAGGAGATGCGCAATC